TTCCCCTTGTTGCAAACATACAAACTTGTTGGGCTGTGTATGCCAAAACTGGGCCTTTTTTCCCATTAACTTGTGTGTTGAACTAAGCAGTGTCATCAGCAAACCTAAGGTCATCCAACTGTGCTTTATCATTTGTCCATCGAATTCCTCTGTTGCCTTCTGTGGTTACTTTCCTCATGACAGAGTCAATGACCAGTGCAAACAGAAGGGGGCCTTAGTACATCCTTTTCTTACTCCAGTTGTCATTGAAAACCATTGGCTGATGTCGTCACCATCTCTGACTGCATATTCAGCATTACAGTAGCCAAGGATCGGTATGATCATTATTTTTCTGGTATTCAGTAACATGCCATACTGTTTAAAGCAAATGATGACATTTTCCTTGGTTTTTGAATAAATATGGAACAAAGAAAAGAACCCAGCCCAATGGAAGGGAGGCCTTCTAATAAAGTTGCCAAAGAAGGGTGGCCTTACCAATTGCAATAACTGGAGAGGAATCGCATCACTCTCAGAGCCTGGGCTAATCATGTGTGGCATTCTCCTGAAAGGTAACAAGAAACAAATGAATCTCCAACTCAGAGACAAAGTCTATCTCTGTGTGCGTTGTCAAAAGCATTCTGGAAATCTGTAAAAATGATCACAAGGGGTGTTGGTCTGAGAACAACACTGTGGTCTGCCCGTGATCCCAGTGTTCTAAGCACTGCTTGTTTCTCTGAGTTGGAGATTCATTTGTTTCTTGTTACCTTCCGGGAGGGTGCTGCACGTGATTTCCCCAGGCTCTGAGAGTGATGTGATTCCTCTCCAGTTATTGCTGTTGGTAAGGCACCCTTCTTTGGCAACTTTATTAGAAGGCCTCCCTTCCATTGGGCTGGGTTCTTTTCTTCATTCCATATTTTATCCAAAAACGCAAGTAAAGTTTCATCACTTGCTATAAATGTCTCTTCAGTAACGATGTCAGCATCTTCCCCGTTTTTGCATTTACTGATGACTTTTCTAACGTCTTCCATTGTAATAGCTGCTCAATCAATATCAAACTCCAGAGGTGGGTCTTCATCACATATTTCTAGTAGTTCACTTGGGCATGGTCTATTGGAAACAGTCTGAAAATGTGTGAAGTACCAACTTCAGATTATTTGAGATTCCTCAAAAAGTGACGTGCAGAACAGCTGGTCATATGCGTGTGTAGGAGGGGAAGAGCTAGAGTATAAGGTTGTCACAACTTCTGCTTAATAGCCATTTTTCAAAAAGTTTCTAGGGGCTTGGATTTTTGTTTGTTTTGGAGGGTTTTTTGTGCAGATTTAAAAATCCAGCTATTGATGTCATGCAGGTCAGAGCTGTTTCAATGGTGCTGTCCATTTTTACGCAAGGTAGTGCATGGCGCCCTCTAAATCTTTGGGGGACCTACACTGAGAGTGATAGTTAAGAAAATATACATTTTTACAGTGTGCATACACCAATACAGAAAAACAGCTAGTGGGTTTCCAGCCCACCATTTTATATGTTTTAAAGCTCGACTCTTTTAAGTGCTCTAAAATGTGAATGGTTACTTGGAGTGCTTTGAAATTTGATGTGCCTCATGGGCCACAGGGTAGTATTAATGATCCAAATTTGGGGTCATTTGACAAAAAGGTTCCCAAGTTACAGGCTGTCCCAAAAAATTCAGTTTCCTTCTGCTGCCTTGAGCTGTTAAACTGAGAGGTACTGACAGCTGGATGAATCACAGACCGAGTTGAGATTACTGGCTGTGAACTCACCTTTCAAGTAACATAAGGAAGGATAAGTTAATCACAAGCCCCCAAGTAAAGCAAAAGGAGTTTTGGACTGAAAGGCTGGAGGTTGTTACAACTGGTGCATAATGATGTTAATTTTATTTTGGGGGGAACAGGATCAAAGCCTTCTTTGGTCCCTGCTGGACTGACACGCCCTGCCTGAGGAAAATCCATTCAGAGTGGGTAGCCAAGAAGACAATCCTGCAGAAACCGAGAAGGGCCAAGAGGAGCACGGACCAATCAAGAACCAGTAGGCCAGTTTTGCTCAGAGGCAGAGCTGGGTGAGACTTGTCCAGGCAGGGTCTTGGTCTAAGTGCTGCACTTAAGCGCTTGCATTTTGAAGGTTTGAGGGAATTTTTCTCTTCGTTTAAAGGTGCCAACAACTAATCCTGAGTTGCTGTTTTGTTACTTGATTGTTTAAAGACTGACGCCAAGCTTACGGCACAGGCTGCTAACCCTTGGAGGTGAGGGTGGAGAGCATCTGCAGTACCACCCATGGAAATCGGAGGGTTCGTGGCTGACCAGAAAATGTACGGGGTGGCAGAGAACATTAGGATCTCTGACACTTCACTGGTTCTCAGAGAGGGTGTACGCCTATTGATCAGTAGTCAGAGGTTCTCTCTCTCTCAAACATAAAGCTGTCAATGTTTTGGAACAGAAACCCAGTCTGTGATGTCTCTTGCCAGCCATGCCACAAACTGCCCCCGCCAACCATTCTGAAACACGACCGGGAACACCATTCGGATGTAACGTGCTTGTCCTTTGCTCAAGGCACTGTCTGTAAGTCAGGTTACAAGAGGGTGGGGAGTAACAGCAGTAGAAACCTTTCTATACCAGGGAGCGAACACTTAAGGGAGATGTGTTTCCTTGCAGTGGGGGGGGCCTTGGTACAGAACTGGCATGAGGGGCAGGTTGGAGAGGGGAGTGAATGGGTCGGGACATAGCTGCGGAGGTGTGCCAGAGCAGGGCCCATGGGACCCAGGTGATGTGGGCAGAGGCGGGCCTGGTTGGCTCAGTATACAAATTGCAGGAGATGATATGTACAGCTACCTAAATGACTATTAACTCCTACCAACAACACTGCTTTTCCTGTTCAAAAACCCTTTGATGTTGTTGTTGTCCTTTAACAGCAGTAGGTGGAATCCTGTGTGTGACGGTGAAGGGTTGTAAAAGGAGGTGAACAGGTCATACATTTTAGTACTGTGGGGTTGGCAGAGTAAAGGTCTGTGTGTTAATGAGGCATATTGGGGCATTACTGGAAGAGAGTAGTGTTAAGGTTGCATGGGCAACTAATTAGAGGCAGATGCAGCTGGGAGGGAACAGGAGGGGCCTGTAAAAAGCCCAGGAGCTGTAAGTAGCAAGGGGGGGCTGCAGGAAGGCAGGCTGTAGTTACTCCCTGAGAGGAGGGAGTTGGGAGGCTGGTTGTGTTAGGATCTGAAAGTGGCTGTGTTGCCTTTCGTTCCTAGCTTCACCTGCAGCTTTCATGCTTTTTCACAGCTTGCTTTTCAGTTTTGCATTGGTAGGCTGCTGCTGCTGTGTTAATGCTCTGAAATGAACAGATTTCTGATGGGGTTTGTATACAGTAGAACCTCAGAGTTGCGAACTGACCAGTCAGCCACACACCTCATTTCGAACTGGAAGTGCACAATCAGGCTGCAGCAGAGATCAAAAAAATGCAAATATAATACAGTGCTGTGTTAAACATAAACTAGTAAAAAAAAAAATACGGGAAAAGCAGCATTTTGCTTCTGCATAGTAAAGTTTCAAAGCTGTATTAAGTCACTGTTCAGTTGTAAAACTTTTTCAGGAACAACCATAATGTTTTGTTCAGAGTTATGAACATTTCAGAGATACAAACACCTCCGCTCCTGCAGTGTTCGTAACTCTCAGGTTCTACTGCACTTCCTGGGGAATGCTCCTGCTGCACTCCGTGCTGACTGGTGTTCCCGCCAGGCCTCTAAATCTGTCCTCGACTCCGGCCTCTCTTGGGAGCTAATATTTCCAGAGTTGCTCCTGGATGGTAGCGTGGTGACCTTTTCCTTCAGACTGGCATTGTCTTAGCTGCAGGCCAGTGATTCTTCATCCAGAAAAGAACAAACTGGCGGTTGTCTCTCCCTAGGGGGAATGTTTCCACAGGCTTTCAGTCCCAGTAGTTAAGGGCAAGTTCTCTTTCATTTGTAAGTGGTTCTGGAGGCCGGGTACTTGTTTGGCTTGGTGTGGCAGGTCTCCTGGATCATTTATAAGTTTAGTGACTGGATATTCCTGATGAGAGAAGAGAAGAACTGCATCTGTTTCCAGGCTCTGTAAACTACTAAGTGCTATTTCATAGCCTCCTCAGCCACGTTTGCCTTCTTGTGTTTGTGTGCTGGCTCAGATAGTAGCTCTGCATGCAGAGACCAGACGTAAGCAGCCACCTATGTAGATGCCCCTTTATCTACTTTCACAACTCACCCTGCACGTTCAGATACTCTCAGAGTCATACTTGTGCATCTGTATCTAAAATACACCACAAACACACTGGTGCAGCTCTACCTACCTGTACATCTTTGCACCCAGGTCTGCGTGAGCACCCACGCTTGCCTGTGCCCTCGCAGGTGGACCTCGACTTCCAAGAAAAGTGCTCCAGGCACGGCTGTGCCCACAGAGGCTTGCCAGAGTGCCAGTCCTGGCAAGCGTCAGTTATCCCAGACAGACAGGCTTGTGGTTTAATTGATTAGGGATTAAGTCTTTGCTGCTCATGTCTGTGTTGTCTTGCTGAGCAGCCCCTCTCTGCTATTTTAATCAGAAGGTCATTGTTATATGAGATGAACAATTTAGGCTCTCCGTCTACTCCCCTCTGCCGCAGCAGATTCTGTGTTAAGAACGTGGCAGCGTCTTGTTAGCATCAACTAAAACTCATTCTAACTTGGATAGTTTCGGTGTCTCTGAGAGTCTCCTGACTTGCGGTAACTAAGCTCACCTGGCAGGGCTTTCTAACCTGCTGAGTGGGAAGTGAGTTGCAGGTTTGTGAAGTGCCGCATTTGTCTCAGAAAACCCAGCTCCTGCATGAAACTCGTGTTGGTTCCTCTGTGGGTGGATTCCAAGGTAGTAATAAAACTTGACAATAGACCTACAGTTGTTTTCCTTCTGAGAGTATGCAATCAGCACTTGGGCAGTGAGTCCCCAGAGCCTCCTACAGAAAGTTATTCCTCCCCTGGTTCACATTTGTGTGTCTCTTGTTTTGTTTTTCAGGTTCTCCAAGCCAGCACCAATGTTCTTGGATGATTCCTTCAAAAAGTGGGCACGGATCAGGGACTTTGTACCTCCCTTTGGAATTAAAGGACAAGGTATGATGAAACTGTATGTCGGGGGAGAGCAGATACGGTTGTGGAGTCAGGAAATTTGCCCTGCAATTTTGTTTTGTTTTGTAAACGCAGAGTGGTTTGATCTGTTGTGCTGTGGTTTCTTTCCAGTTTGAGTATGGTGAATTTATGCATGTTCTGAGAGACCAGACCAGCCCAGCCAGGGCGTGTGCCCTAGAAGCTGGCGTTTGGGAGCACAGTTAAGACCCCAGTGAAAATCGAAGTGCAGCAGTGCCCGTGTTATGCAGAGCACTCTACTAGTATGTACAATATTCCAGTGTCACCAGGGGTGTTGGTTTATAGTAATATGGCTGGCAGAAGCAGCCGAAATGCCCCTTCAGGCACCAAACCGATTTGAAAATCATTCTAATTGGCCACAGACAGAAGGGCAAGTAGCACTGCTTGCCGGTAGGTTTGCAGAGCCCTGGTGTGACCACTGGCTGATGATTATCTCTGTGTACGTGCCTACATAGTTAGTTACTTGTGGGATCCCTGAGGATCCACAACAGACCCAAAAAACCCACTCAGGTACCACAGTGATGGGCTTAGTATAAGAAAAACAGAAAATGTGACCCTTATCATTAGCTTTTATTCCTGTGGCTGTGATATTTGGAGCCGTGTGGCTGGTGGTAGAATACACTGAAAGCAGTGAGAAGAGCGCTTCTCTCTGTGGGGTAGTAATCTGGTCTAAAATCTCCTTGTTGGAGATAAGGCAGGGCGGGTCACATGAAAGCCAACTGGGGCCCTGGGAACATCATAACATGGTGATGATGGTGGGGCACGGGTCCATTCCCATGGCCCTGCCCAGCCATTTGGAGTGCTCCCCTCCTCCTTCCTGAGAAAGTCAGGTGTGGCAGCAGGGAAGCGTGGGCAGTTACCTGCCCCTGTAGCCAAGGTGTGTGCCTATTTGCGTGAGTGGAACAGGCCTGCTTTCATTCTTCTTCTCCTTCCATGCCACAGTTCTCTACTAGTGAGGTGTTGGTGTGCGTGGTCGTCCCCTTCCCTCGAGCAGTGGATCTCAGGGTTACCACCCTAGTGACATGAATGGAGCAGTTCACACCTCTGAGCTATCATTTCAGATTGTCAGCAGACCCTGGCAGATGTTGCTGCTTCACTTACATGGTGGTCACATTTTCAAGTTTTTTCACAACCATGAGGGCTAGAAATTTCTTTTTTCCTGCTTAAAGTTAAAGCTTTAGATTAGATTCTGATGTAACCGTGAACTGGGGTGGTCTTAGGCATGGCCCTAGGGTGCCTGTGTCTTAGTTGAGCCGTGGTGGCAGGTTCAGTTAGCTGAACGTGGCAGTAGTAGGAACAAAGGGTCTCTGATCAAAGCTCAGACTTCGTTGACCAGGTTCTTCTGACGCGCAGTGTAGTCCTTCTCCCCTCCGGTTTGTATGTTTGCCTCCCAGCTCGGTGAGAAAGTGATTACTGCTGTGTACGTCAGCCAGAAGGGATTGCTGTATAGGCCACTAGAAGCAACAGTGGAAGCACAAGTGGGAATGATACATCAGCCACAAGAGGGGATCTTTGCTTGAAGCAGGCACCCGAGGTGTACAAGGGCAGGGGCAGGCGTCCTGACTGGGCTGGGGATGAGGTTTGAAGATTACGCATGACTGCAGCCAGGCCTAATAAAACTCATTTTGCTAAACTGAATCCAAATGGAGAAACTTGCCAGAGAGGGATGACTGAGTGGCTTTGGCAGCTTTTGCTCTGGGTTTCCTCGCTGCTGCCAGCTTGTGTCACCACCAGTGTTATGTAAATCTGTTGTTTTATATTGGATTTCCTCAGTTAAGAAGAGAAATGAGAAATTGCCATTATTTAAATGGCTGAGAGCTGAAGCAATGGGATGGAAACAGCTGAATGGGTTTTTTTAATGCCCTCCTGGGACTAAACTTTATGCCAAGTTTCAGTCTAGAGCAATTTCTGTGTGTGGGAGGGATGAATTATAAATCTGTGTAAAGCAGGGTTTCTAATGGCTGTGCTGACAGGCCGAGAGTTCTAGCGATGTGAATGGCGCCCCTTTTGTGTCACACGTCACTTGGAATTCGTGCATCAGTCTTTTCTAGCCATCCCACGGGACACGTTCTGGATGAATTGAGTGACTTGATGATGGGATCAGCACCTCATTAGGGCCTTCAGTCAGAGCACGTCTAATGATATCCAAACAACTGACCTAGGCAGGCAGTGTGGAGATAAGTCACCATGCTTGTGCAAGCTGAAGACTGTCAGAGCTGTGGTGTGCGTGGGAAAGACAGAGCAGACTGGATAGCTCAGGAAATTAGGAGGAGATATGCGTACGTTGAAACTGATAGGGTGGGGTTCTGTTCGGTGTGGTAGGAAGCCCCTTAATGCTGAGAGTTGGAATTTTCCTACAAGATCTACCTTGTGAAAGGTATTGGGTGTTTATTGGCACCAGCTCCACCTAGGCTGAGGTCGGAAAGGTTTTATTGAGGACTTGTGAATCTCATCATGGTCTAGTCCACATGCAGGAGTCTAATTTTTGAAGTAATGTTACAGGAAGGGTTTGCTGTCCTCCTAGTATTCAGGGCATTCCTGGAGATTCCTACCCAATAATTACACTCTGATCTAATTACTTAAAGGTAAGTGATACAATGGAATCAACAATTTTTCAGGCAGAACCCTCCCATTCTCCCTTGTATTATTGAAGCTGCTTTCTGTATTCCAAGCTTTGAACTCTGAAGGGCTTTTGAATTCATGGCCTTTTGTTCAGTGCTTGTGTCTTTGAAATGAACCCTGTAGCAGGCCCTGTATCACCTAGTCTCTGGTTTATTCATGAGGGTTCCAGGCAGGAACGATCTTGCAGAGTCCTGTTTACAGAGCTGCACTACTTTGGGGTAACGTGTCTGTGTAAGTTGAGAGTCAAAGGCTAGAACGGGGTCAGAAAGGCACAGGCCAGTGTTACAAGCTCTTCATACACTATCACATCAACAGAAGGCAGCATGCTGATTATTCTGACACAGTTCAGGAGGAATCCTAATTTTCTGTGAGAAATTTCATTGTAAAGACAGTTCCATCTCCAGATGTGAAACATTCACTTTGCACACTCCATTGCAGAGACCTCCACATAGCTGCACCAGTAAGATCCTCCTTTCCTCAGGGCTTCACTTCTTAATTTGGCCATAGGTTGTGAAATCCCTCTTCACAGGCTAATGTGCTGAGTCACGTCAAGAAGAACAGCTGCCCATAAAGGTCCTCAAGGTGAATGTAGCCCTGACTAGGTGAGGACCTTCAGAGACTGGGTGTGGCTGTGAGCCCATCATATGTTCTTCATAATCAAGCGGTGAGGCATTGGGAGCCCACCTGCTCTGCCAGGAATGCCTGCAGGCTTGGCAGTTTGCAGTGCAAACTTTCCTGGTGATCAGTTACCTGCTAGGTAAGAGAAACACACATGCAAACAGGCTAAGCTGCTCAGTAGTAGACTCGCCATGAATGGTCCCTGGAGCAGGAGGTAGTGGACAAGAACTTTTTCACCTGAGGTACACAGTTGAAAGTCCTGTGGAGAGCTTTGCTGAACAATGAGCTACCAGTTCTTTTATACAAGTCATTGGAAATAGACAGTATTGTGGAGAAATCTCTCTGGCACCTCTGCTAAGCAAAGATCCTGACCATGATAGAAGCAGAACAAAGTTTGATCCCGTTGCCCCAAGTCCCTCAAACTGTCTGAGACAAATATACTTCTCATCTATTTTTAGGGGTGGTTGTATAGTTATTTCTGATCACACAGAGCCAGGACACCTGTTTACATCCCAACCTGGGATCCCTCTCCCTGTATGTCTGGTTCCCAAGAAGGTAGATATCCAGATAGGTCATGTTTCTGAGCAAATGTGTCCAGTCATAGGTTTTAAGACCAGAAGGGACCATCATGATCATCTAGTCTAATCTTCTGCATAGGGTTGCCAGGTGTCCAGTTTTTGCCTGGAAAATCCATTCGAATAGAGGACCTGGCAGTGTTCATGGGACCCGATACGAAAAGTCTGGTTACCCCAGGCGGGGGTGTGTGCCAGATCATCAACCCACAACAGCCCCTGCTCAGCTGGGGCCCTTCCTACCTGAATCTCGTGGGTGGGCAGGCAGCAGGTGCCATGTGAGGCTGCAGCTCCCATTCTAGCCCAGAGCAGAGGGAACCCAGCTGGGGTGGGGGAGAAGTGGAGAGGATTGAGGGATGAGGAGGTGGGAGAGCAATGAGTAATGTGGGGGAAGTGGGAGAAGAGTGAGTGGGGAGCAGGGCATCAAGGAAAGAGGCGGAGCAGGGGCGGGGCTTTGGGAAAAGAAGAGGGGCGGGGCCTCTGGGGGAAGAGATGGGGTGTGGAGGTATTGGTTTTCAGAACTTAAAAAGCTGACAACCCTACTTCTGCATAACACAGGACCTAGATTTCATCCCGTGATTCCTGCTTTTACACCAATAATTTGTGGCTGAACTAGATTGTCTTTTTAGAAGGTAATCCAATCGTGATTTAAAGACTCCAAGTGCTAGAGAATTTGCCACATCCCTAGGTAATCCATTCCAAAGTTTGGTTACACTTGCTATTAAAAACGTGCATTTTATTTCCATTGTAATTTCGCTGCCTCCTTGTAGTGACTTGGCTAAAGCCTGGAAATAGGATGCATAATTGCAAGTGGCAGAGTTTGCAGTCTGGTGCAGTCACAGACTCAGATCCCTGATGAGCCATCCAAGAGATCAAGAATTTTTGTATATTTAAATTCTGTTCAATAATTTCTCCTTAATTGGCCTTGTGTTTCTATAAATTTACTTCCCCCACCTCTGAGGTGAAATGTGGTAGCTGTTCTGGGACAGGAAGTGAAGGATATAATATCTAATTGAAATTGCTCGGTGCTTGGAGGCCGCAGAATGAAATTACCCAGATTAAAATAGCCAAGGATACCGAAACTCTGACACAAAGTGTCCTGGGAACTCCTAGTGCTGACCTCTCCAGCGGCACCGTCCCCTCTGTGTTATGGCA